CTCTATATATATATATATATATATATATATATATATATATATATATATGGGTCTGTCGATATTTTACAAACTCAATCATCAATTTGTAATGTGTGTGTGAAATTATATATATATATATATATATATATATATATATATGATTATTTATATTTGTGTGTATATCTCTTTATCCTCTGCTCCCTACGTAGTATCTTTGTATTGCGTAGATATTTTTTAATCTATTACTTCGTGTGTTAATATGCAGATGTATGGACATAAGCATTTACAACTGTATGCACACACATATATATATATATGTATATATATATATATATATATATATATATATATGTATGTATGATGTAAATGTAATAAGCTAAGAATCGTTTTTTCTTTATACTTTGCGATTATGCCCTTTCTTTATTCATATGTCCTTTCAGGATTTTTGTGTTTTCACTTTTTCCATTAAAACATACGAATATATATATATATATATATATATATATATATATATATATATATATATTACGCTGTCTATATCTATCATTCTCTATTTGTCTCTCTCTCCTTTCTCGTCTCTCGCTCTCTGTCTCTCTGTCTCTCTGTCTCTCTGTCTCTCTGTCTCTCTCTCTCTCTCTCTATATATATATATATATATATATATAGTGTGTGTGTGTAATTGTATAAAGATAAGGATGTGTCATATATCCATATATGTTCTTTGCGATTGCGTTTTGTTTTTTGTTTTTTTTCATTCTGTTTCCTGAAAATTGTTTATACGTTAAAATTTTCCCCCTTTTTGTCATCAGTTCATTTATTATGTTAGAAATTTGTTGCTTTCTTTTTCCAGCCCTGTCCCTGCCGACAACTCTTACTTTCTTTTTTTTTATTTCCGTTTTTTTCCTTTTCACTTCTTTTTCCTTTTTATTTTATTTTTTTTATTTTTATTTTTTTTTTACCCTTGATTACTTTTGTACTCTTCTGGCCAAGTCAGCAAAATCTGAAAATACTCACCGAATGATGGAGGCGTGGTTTCATTGATTATCAAAACGCGATCCAATTGGCTAGAACACAATGGTTTTTTTTTGATGACGTACGTATTCGCTCAAAATGGCTCGCCACTTTTTTTTAACACTTATCGGGGGCTCTATTAACTTGACCTTGAGCCATAGGAACTTAATCTAACAACTGTTTTTGTAAAGTTCTGCCGACAAATTATGTGTATCAATTTTTGAAATATAAAAAAAAAACAAAAAATTATTTCTCATCGATCAGAAACGATTTTGAAAATTGTATTAATTCAGCCCTTATCGGATGCCTCATTAAGTCCTCGAGTCACACTATACTAATTTTATTAAATACCTGCAATTGCTTATTTGATGGCTCTATAGAAAATTATTTATCTTTTATCTTTAAACAAAAAAAAAAACACGGAAAATAAATCAATATTTATAAATATTTAATTTTTCACCCAATACAAGGCCCAAGTTCCACGCAAATAAGACGGTTAATGAATGATGCTGTTGCATGTAGGAGAGGTAAGAAATGCAGTTTAAGAGATTAAGATTGTACTGATTGGGGAAGCATCCTCTCGGGAGTTAGTTCCACAAAGTAGCGATTCTTGGGAAGAAACTGTCCAAATAGAACTTCTCCCTTACCAATGGAAGACAAATGTGGATGATCCGTCCATATGTACGTGGCATGGCGAGTCCTGATTGTGAAGGTCAAAATTGGTGGAACTATAGCTTGTCAGAACATTTGTCATGAAAATAGCGATAGAAGAGCAAGAGGCTGGCGTTGTTCCGTCTGTTGGAAAAGGGTTGTAGGGTAGAAAATAATTAATCAACCAAAAGGCCGGGTAAATGTTCGTGAGCTCTATCAAATGTGCAAAATATAACAATAATTAAAATAAAATTATTTATTCTTTTAACATATTCAGCACCGCTTGTCAAGTTCATCTTTTCAGTAAAACTAATCAAGCTTTTCCAAGTTCATACATAGTTCTACATGCGATCTGTTTCTTCATCAATAAGTTATCGATTAAAGTCCATAAAAATAGGTAAATTCTTTTGTTGGTAGTTCTGGTCAATAAATGCCAAATGTTTCCTTATAAGGAAACGGTAGATAGTATCACTACCATTGCAGATGAGATAAAAAAAATCAGATACTATAGTTTGATCTCAGTGCGATGGCCAGTAGTCTTTTCATATCTATCTATCTATCTATCTATCTATCTATCTATCTATCTATCTATCTATCTATCTCATTACAATCGTTTCTTTTCTTTATTTCTTTCATTCTATTTATCTATCTCATTACATTCTTTTATGTCTATCTATCTAGCTATCTATGAATCTATCTGCAGTCATCTATCTATCTATCTATCTATCTATCTATCTATCTATCTATCTATCTATCTATCTATCTGTAGTCTTTTCTTATCTGTTGTAACATAGGAAGGGTTACTGAATGAAGCAGGACGAAAATGGAGGTTTGAAATGAAATGGTAATCTTTATAACATCAACAAATTACAATACTTGCCAGCGGCGTGAAGTAGGTAAACCACTGCTCGTGGTGGACTACTTAGACGGCATATTATCCCAACTTATAATAGTGTCCAACGTATTTATGCGGATTGGGACATACCTATTAGTGTTCATAGGTACGGTATAAAAAAAAAAAGCCAATCTGTCCCGCTATTCAGCTCAAACCTGGGAAAGAGGGAAAGTATTGATCCATACCATTCCTAAGAGTATTTGCGCGTAAGTGAATGTAAAAAAACTCGACTGCAATTGAAACTCTGCTTTCCGACCTCTCATTCAGCGCCGTTATCTATCGCACCACACACTGTGGAATGCTTCTGATTACCTACATCCTGAAGAGACACGGAATTAAAAATAAACTTATTTCAGAACGTTTGCAATTATGGGTCTCCTCAACGTCTTTTGTTACTCTAAATAAATCGTAATGCGCTTACTATCCATTTTTATCTCTATTTTGCCAACCGTTAAGTAGGTAACTCGCTCCTTCTCCTGCTTGTTTTTTCTAATCATTTCACTCATAGCAAGGCAATAAAGCCACTAAGATGCAAAGAGTTACTGGGTGTTAGAAAATATGAGAAAAAAACATTATTAAGGCGAGGGAAGAATCAAAGAACAAGAATTAAGAAGACAGAAGATAACGATAGACATTGCATCTATATTTTTGCCGATGAAAGTTGACTGGAAAGCCAGAAGCAGGAAAAGAGTTTTACAAACAAGAAGTGCAAGAGAAGAATCTCTTAGCAAAGAACTTAAAGTGACATCTAGCGGCCATTTCAACTGTAAAATGTTGAGACTTTGCTGCCTATTTAGTACTGGGCTTAAATTCATAAAGTCTACCTACCATAGAAAAAAATGTTAATCAGAACAATTACCATGAAAGTATTTATAAGAAATGTACAGAGAAGCTATATTACGGAGGTGGAAAAATAATTGAAGTTGAGATGCCAGGTCAGGACCAGAAACATTGCAGATTCTTCTTTGGATTTTATCAAGAATCTCTAAATATATAGCAAGAATACCAGATCAGATGTGTCGGCAATCTTTAAAGCAAGGATGAATGATAAACTTATAAATATGTAAAATAGATTTCTGTATATTAAATTGTCAAGCAAGATTTAGCTAACAACATTTATATCAGCAATTGATTCAATATAATCTTTCCTTTTCATGTCAGCAGAAAACGTTAGTCCGAGAAGGTGCAATGAGTCACTCTCTTGGAGGTTAGCATCAGCCGTAAAAAGGTAAAAAGATTTCCCTCAGACGATTAAAATTGAGCAGTTTTGTTTTGGAGGCGTTAAAAGTAACACGTCATTCCTTGCCAAGAGTTTAGGTTACTTTTTAGATCAACTGCCAATTTAACCATATCGAACTGATAAAGTTTCCGTCGGCTTTAATATGAACTATGTGTATTAAATTCCCCGAGTTTTCTTTCCTCATTATGTTCTCCAAAAATTTCAACTGTTTCATTCTGACTGTGTATAAACTCCTTGTAGTTCCTTTTTGTTATATAGGAATAAAGTGTCGCTGCTGACACTTGGGTTTGAACACAGATCACCATTTCTATTCTATCCTCTATTACTATACAGATCATCATTTCTATTCTATCCTCTCTTATTATACAGATCACTATTCCTACGCTATCCTCTATTACTATATGGATCACTCTTTCTACGCAATTTTCTCGACTCTATTCACTATACTATTTCTCTATACTGATCACTATATGGATTATTATTCGAGTGAGTATTGTCGATCAAGTATTATTAGTGCGAGTGTTATTCGAAGGCGTCTGAGACTGATACTTCAACGGCGTTACTCTCGTTGTATCTACTACAATGAGAATTGCCAAAGTGACAACGAGTATTTGTTGACATTAAAAGAGTGGCAACGAGTGTTCGTTGACATCACAAACCTTTTTTCTCCTTAAGATGCCTTCGTTGCTCACATTCCCTGCTAGAATTCGTCGTTTTAAGTCTCTTTTATGGCTGCGAGCTGATTGCCCACATTTACTGTTCAAGAGCTTTTTATTTAAGACATTAATTATTCTACATTCTTTTCTGTTAAATATTAGGAAGAATGGTGCGTAAAATCCTAATTAATGCCGAAAGATATGGCATAATAAAAACACCGACTGTATGGCTTTGTTGACAGTTATATATCAACTTCCGGTCATGTGGAGATAAGAGGGTGGGGATGGGGGGATCAATGTACGTGTATATTTGTGAATAATGACACTTGCGTTTCAAATAAAAGTACTTATATTTTCTTATAAAAGTATTTAAAAATTGGAATAACGCTTTTGAATCCTTTCGCTTGTTTTTTCTACTTCTTTGAAATTTTGTAAGTGATATAGTTTTTTTGTTTTTTTTTAATATCATTAATGCCCATTATTAATTTAAAAAGATAAATAAATCTCTGGTATAAAACATATGTTTCTAAAATAAATCAGGTACTAATTATAAGTTCATACCGACATGTTAATCATCATCACCACCACCACCATCATCATCATCATCATCATCACCACCACCATCATCACCACCATCATCACCACCATCATCATCATCATCATCATCACCACCACCACTACTACCACCAACACCATCATCATCACCACCATCATCATCATCATCGTCTTCATTAGCATCAGCACCACTACTACCACCACCACCACCACCACCACCACCACCATCATCATCATCCTCTTCATTAGCATCAACACCGCTACTACCACCACCATCATCATCATCATCATCATCATCACTGTAACTTGAAGGCTTGTCTTGGTCATAGACACTTAGCCATTGATTCCATCGGGGAAATCCTTTACTCTGGCCAGTGAATCTATAAAATCGAGACCCCCCACCCCGCCGCCTGACAATGCAGTCTCATCATCGCACTGGCTGTATCCATAGCGAGGAAGCTGAGTCTAGTCCATTGTGTTAGATGGTTGTTGGTCCTATAAGATTCATCCGATCTTTGACAGGTTTCGTTTTAAATCCAGCTCAGTGTCTCGCCAATTCTCCCCACGAGAACACCCTGGTGGATGAACCAGTTTAGTCAGCGAATACTAGACCATGCGATACGTTGTATTTTTTGTTTTTTAATTAAATCACCCCAAGGCAGTAGATTCACAAAAATCAAAGTAGGCTTCAAAGCATGGAGCTGGAAGGGAGTTCTACAAGCGAGAAGTGTGAGAAAAAAAACTGTTAGCATAGAATAATGATCCCCAAATGGGGAAGGTCTGCATTAATGGATTAAGGGAATCTATGTCTGACCATGGGATAAAACTGAAGAAAAACTTATTTGAAATAAGTAAATAAATCTGTTAGATTCAGGAAAAACCTTTCATTCATTGATTAATAATTCTTTTCAAGTGAATATTAATTTAGATTTATGAATTTATGCTTAGTACTAGATTGGCGGCAAAGTTGTATCATTTTACACTTGAAATAGTTAGATGTCCCATAAGTACTTTGCTAACTGTTTCTTTTCTCTTACTTCTCGCTTGTGGAGCTCTATTTCGGCTTCTTGCCTCCCAGTCAACTTTGACCATCAAAAATTTAAATGCAATGTCGATCGTTATCTTTATGTTTTCTTAATTCCTATTCGTTTACTGTTCTGTCGCCTTAATAGTGATTTTTCTCATATTCTCTAACACTCAGTATCTCCTTCCGTCTTAGTAGATTTATTGCCTTGCTCGGGGTGAAGATGATTAGAAGGAAAAAAGTGTGTTTATGTGTTTTTTTAATGATATAGAGACATATTTTTTTTTTCCTTTTTTTGCAGTTTCCACTAATGTCTACATTAAACGATACTTCATTAACAAAAGATTTTTAGAATATCTAGGATTACACTTGACAGAATTGTAAAGAGATGTTTGAAGATTTGTTTTTGCTAAATGTTTGCCCAATATGGTTACTAAATCAAGAATGGACGTAGAGGTGAAGGGGTTGTAAATTACAACAGGTAACGGCTTCCCCACCTGTGTATATTGAATGAAGGGTCTTAACTGTAAATGTCTGGACTGGCGAGGTTAGGGTTAGAAATGTAGCTCGTCAGAGTATTTATTTACTAATATATATATATATATATATATATATATATATATATATATATATATATATATATATAAATATTGAGATAGATTGATAGATAGATAGATAGATAGATAGATAGATAGATAGATAGATAGATAGATATGAACGGACTGAAATAGAAAGAAAGAAACAAACAAACAAACGGATTGAGATAGATAGATAGATATAAATGAAGGGGTTGAGATAGATAGATAGATAGATAGATAGATAGATAGATAGATAGATAGATAGATAGATAGATAGAAAGAAATGAACGGACTGAAATAGAAAGAAAGAAACAAACAAACAAACGGATTGAGATAGATAGATAGATAGATAGATAGATAGATAGAAAGAAAGAAACGGATTGAGATAGAAATAAATGGATTGAGATAGATAGATTGAAAGAAAGAAAGAAACGGATTGAGATAGATAGATATATAGATAGATAGACAGATAGATAGATAGATGCGGAGCAAAGGGCCACAGACTCACCACACTAAGCATTACAACTATGTTTTCTGATGCAAGTCGGTGCTATGAGGTGGAGTGGCTAACCACACGCCAAATCACTTTTTCAGAATTGTCCAAACTGGTTACCCTACAAGGAGGAGAGATGAATTTCCTCCTCTCCCAGCGGACACAGTGTCCTAGACTTGTAGTGTTTATGAAGAATCCTTTCGAGAGACTGTTCTGTAAAATAGTCGTTCGTGGAAATAAGCTGTCCGAATGGAACTTCCTCATTTCCAATGGAATACGAACAGGAGGAGGATAGTTCGCCTCTGCGTATATGGCATGACGGTTCTGAACTGTAAATGTCGGAACTGGTGGAAATAAGGAATGTAGCTCGTCATAACATTTTCCATGGGAATAGCGATGGAGTAGCGATAGACTTCGAGTGCTGCGTCTGTGGATTGTAGAATGGAAAATAATTCATAGTCTACAAGACCGTTTCTGAAAACGTTTTCAAACTCTGTCAACGCTGGAAAATGGCGATTCTTTTTTAGTAAGTAAAAAAAGAAATAAATCTGAAGAATATTGCATTAAATAATCAAGGAATTTATGAGAAAGAAAGAAATAAAGAAAGAAAGAAAAAGGAAGAAAAAAAGGAAAGAACCATGAACTAAAGAAGGAAAGAGAACGAACGAACGAACCAAGAAAAGAAAGAACGAAAGAGAATACTAAAAGAAAGAATATTTCTTTCTTTCAGTTTTTCTCTTTCGAAAACGAAAGAAAGACAGAATAAAAAGAGAAAGAAAAAATATTGAAAACAAAAATGAAAAAAAAAAAACAAGTAAATAAGAAACAAAAGTGAAAAGAACGAATAAAAGAGACACAAAAAAGAATGAAAGAAAAATGGAACAAGTGAAAATACGAAAGAAATAAAAATTAGGAAAGAAAAAGAAGAAAGAACGAATGAAAAAAAAAGAAGATAGAATGACAGAACATAGAAAAGAAACAAAAAAACGAACAAAGAGAAAAAAGAATGAAAGAATAGCAGTAGAAAGAATAAAAATAGAACGAGAGAACTAGAGAAAAAGAAAAGGAATGAAGGAAGGAAGGAAGGAATAGTAAACAAATCAAAGAAATTTCAGAGGAAAAGAAAGAGAATAATAGTGACGAATAAAGGAAGAAAAACTAAAAGTAAAAGAAAAGTAATGAGAAGCAAAATAATGGAAGAAAAAAGCAAAGTAAGAAAAAAAATATTGAGCAGACAAAAAATAAAATAAGAAATCATAAAAAGATAGAAGGAAAGAAAGAGAAAAGAAACAAAGAATATCTTAGTGAGAGCTGAAAAAAATGATTATTAAGAAGAAAAGAAAAAAAAAAGAAAGAATTCTGAGAGCCAAAAAAGATTTTAAAAAAAAGAGTGTAAGCATTTTGGGAAATAAAAGAAAGAAAGAATGAAAGAATGACAGAAAGAAAAAAGAAAGAAAGATAGAGCCCTGAGAATTAAAAGACAGAAATATTTCAAAGAAGAAAATGAAAGAAAGAAAAGAAACTGCCAAAGAAGAAAGAAAAACAGGCCATATGGAATGAATAAAAAAAGACAGAAAGGAATGAATAAATAAACAAAAAAACATACCGGGAAAGAGAAAAAGAAGAAAAAAAATGAAGATATAAAAAGTGAAAGAAGAGGAACGAAAAAACGAAATCATGCAGAAAATCAAATTGAACAGTAAAAGATTTAATAGCATATTGGGAAGAAAAGAAAGAGAACGATAAAGAAGGGATATGCAGGAAGAATGAAAGAAAAAAGAAAGAAAGAAAAAAAGTAATGGCGGAAAAAAGAATTGTTAGCAGGAAAATAAAAAAAAATATTTAATAAAAAAAACGAAGCAAAGTAAAAGAAAGAAAAAAGAAAAAAAAGGAAAAGAAAAGAACCTATACGAAACAGTATAATAGGGAAAAAAAGAGTGAAACAAGGAAGAGGCAGAACAAGATACAGAGGGATAGAGGTGTATAGAAATATGAAGAAGGTGAAAAGAGAGAAGAGAAGATAGGACAGAAGAGAGAGGAGATTGCGAAAAAAGAGTGAGAAAAAAAGAACCGAAAAACTGAGCAGAAAATAAATGGAAAGACAGTAAACGGAGAAGAAAAAAAAAATAGATATTTTTGGAACAAGAAAATATTGACCATAGAGAAAGAATGACTGGGTCAGAACAATGGTAGAAAGGAAAATAAGAATGTCTCATGGGGTCGGGGAGACGAAAGACATTATCTGGGGTCCACTTTAAAATTGAATGCTCTTAGAGTGCAGATAGGACAATGGAAGATGAAAAAAATACACTATTAAAAAGATAAACAAGGGTCATATATATATATATATATATATATATATATATATATATATGTGTATATGTGCACACAAAAACACACACACACACACACACACACACACATATATATATATATATATATATATATATATATATATATGAAAAGTATGTAGACAAAAATATGAGTGTTTCTATACATTTATATTCATCTAGTAATGTATCTGTAAGAATGTATGCCTGAAAATCTATGTGTGTGTGTCTACGTGCCATGAGAAATTATGAGTAAAAATAAGTGTCTATCTCCCTGTTCACATATATGCGAGTATATATATATATATATATATATATACATATGATATACACACATACGAAAGATGAAGAAAAACGTGCGGGAGTGCACACATACACACATATATATATATACACAGATATGTATAGATACATATGATGCACGCACATACATGTAAGGAGAGAAAGTGTGAGAGAGCAAAAATATATATATATGTGTGTGTATGTGTAAAAGAGAGTGTGTGTGTATATTGTTTGGTAGAATGAGTTCGATATATATATATATATATATATATATATATATATATACATATATATATATATATATATATATATATATATATATGAATACAAATATATATGTACAAACTCATTCTGCCCGGCAATATACAAACACGCAATCATTCTCTTTCACTGACATAGCATAATATATATGTGCGTGCGCGCGCGTGGGTGTGTGTGTGTGTTAGTATAGGTAGGTATGCTGGTAGATAGGTAGGTAGGTTGGTAGGTAGGTGTGTAAATGTCTATATACAAAAGGCTAAATTGACTTAAATACTTTTTTGAATGTCAGTATTGTTTAAATTCGTAACTTTTTTGTTAATGTCGATTGGAGACTAATCTCGAGAAACAAATGTTGTACACGTGCGTGTCATGCGTTCTATAAGAAATCTCTCTCTCTCTCTCTCTCTCTCTCTCTCTCTATATATATATATATATATATATATATATATATTTGTGTGTGTTTGTGTCTATAATTGTCTATATATATTAATGCTTGGAAAACAAACCAAAAATATAAACGGATCCCGAAAACAGGCATTCATTGGTATATACACGTTGTCACAGATTATTATATATGGCATTGTTATCACAATAAAATCTGTATTAGTTAACAGATGTGGGCAAGAACATTTCCGGTTATATTTATATCTATCTGAGCATTATATCGTGAGATTTTCAGCGTATATTATCTGTCATTATAACAAATACTGATGATATCTTGGACGTGTCATGTTTTTCATTTTTTTTTTTTTGCAAAAATATAAAATAAAATAAATAAATAAAAATAGAAATAAAAAAAAATTGTGAAACATGTATGTTTATTTATGTCTTAATTTCTGCGAATCGGAGTTATCTTTATTTACAGTGTTTATATTTGGACTAATATCCTCATCTTTGTTATTATTATCACCACGTTTCGGCCCTTGTGCACTCTTACTCAGACGTATATCTATGCAGGTAACCTACAGAGAATTCTGTACTGAATCCTTTATTTAATCTACGGGATATCCCTAGACATGGACAGTGCACCGAGAACAGTCTACCCCGGTAGATTAAATAAAGTTCAGGATTCCTTGTAAGTTACCCAGACCGATATGTCCCTGATGAAGGCCATGTGTTACTTGAAGCATATTTTGGATTGGAAGAATAGTTATTTTTTTGCGGGGGAATATTGCATTAACAATTTTTTTTTAATCTATTAATCACCACAAAGATCCTTCCCTGCCCCCCCCCCCTATTAGAATGTCTGACGTTCAACTTCCCGAGGCTGCTCGGTCTCATGTTGTCTACAGACCTGAGATGAAACAAATACATTGAGTCAATTGCTTCGTCCACCGCGAGGAAAGTTGGCTCTCTGTGCCCTCCAGGAAATTTTTCTCCCCGGAATCGATACTTCAAATATACAAATCAACCATTCGCCCTTGCATGGAGTATTGCTGCCATATATGATCTTGGGCACCTTCTGTTTACCTCGGAGTTCTTGACAAGATCCAGAGGCAGATATGTAATATAATTGGCCCTGATGTGGCATCTCGTCTACATTCGCTCTCTCACAGACGTGCCGTCGTCTCTCTCTGTCTTTTTTTTTTACAAATACTTTCATGGTAATTGCTTCGATGAGCTATTTTCGCTGGTTCCCAGACTTCATGAGTTCAAGCGTCCTACGAGGCTGGCATCCCGCTCTCACCCTTTCACTGTTGAAACTGTTAAATGTAGCCGTCTCTTCTACTCCAATAGCTTCATATCTCGCACCTCTCGCCTGTGAAACTCCCTTCCCTATTCCAGTTTCCCTGAGAGCTATAATCTCCAACTATTCAAATGTAATGTCAATTGACATCTCCAGTTGCCTTGATCTATCCACTGTCCTTCTCCTCACCCTTTCCTCTATCAATCCTATCTGCTCTCGCTCCAAATCCTCTATAACCCCTTGCGTGCTAGTGGCTTCTCGCCTTGCTAGGGGTGAAATGCTTAAAAAAATAGCGATAACTTTTCTGATTCAAATACACCTATTTAACCAATAGCCGAAGGAGGCGATGGGTAAGAGTATGTCTGGATCAGAAAATGTAACGAACCTGACTGGAATTATACACTGCGCTGAAAGATATTTTATTTAATGTGAAATAATTTTTAAACAATATATATATATATATATATATATATATTGTGTGTATTTCTGCAGTATTTATTTCTAACCTGAACAAAATAAACTATGAAATTTCCACAAATATTCTTAAATGCCTATAATTAGTAACAGAAGACATTGGTTTATACCAACGGCTTCCCATACTTAATACTTCTTGAATTCACTCTCGGGTGGTCATGTGTGATGTCATGAGCTGCGGTGCGACTTTCGCTTCCAGCGTCTTATATGCACGAGTTTGTCGTTGCTTGGAAATCTTCCATGTAAACAGAAATAGACTATCATCACTGATTTGTCCGTGTATTGCTTAATGTACTGTAATGTAACTGTCATCTTTGATAATGGCTTATGTAAGCCGAAAGATTAGATAGGATTAAAAAATATGTATCAATATTGTGATTTTCTTTCTTCGTTTAATGATAATGTTATTAAGCTTATCAGAAGATATGAAAAGGATTTACTCAAAATAAATCGACAACATTTGTCTATATTATTTAATGAAACATATATATATATATATATATATATATATATATATATATATATATATATATGGTCATCCATATACAGACCTGTGTCATTGTATCAGAGCTCATAGTGTGGCTAGATATCCGGTTGCTTCAAGCCGGGATTGAAACCCTATCAGTCAGAAATCCTACCCTTAAGTTATCGGTAGAGAGAAAGGAAAATTCAAACGTATTGTATACCGATGGGAACAAACGGCAGTAGTCAACATGTGTGTGTGCGTGTGTGTGTGTGTATGTGTATGTGTGTGTGTGTATGTGTGTGCGTGTGTGAAGATGATGAGACGAAGTTGGAAATTCTTATCAATGACGTGTTCCGCTACCGAAGAAAACGTCTATTCTCTTTGGCTTCTTCAGTTTGATAATGAAAGTATGACACAAAACATTGTGAGAAAAAAATTATCTTTGGATATCATCTGAGAATAAATGGTCATCGTAGAGCAAATTTATTGCCCCAACTTAACACCTTATTATTTAAGCTTGAAAAATGTCTGTCTGATGAGCTTTTCTGTTTTATCTGCATCTGTACACATAGACACAGACACGCACACGCACACACACACACACACATATATATATATATATTGTTATGGGACCTTACCCATAATAACATAATGGACTATTCCATATGTAATAAATACTGCGCCTCAAGAGGAAGCAGGGAGTTCAGTCTGAAGTCGAACGACCGGCTGACCGGCTGATCTGTTAAACTCTCTGCCTT